AATCAAGATAGAGAAAGTGACTTAAACCAAGTAATTTTGAAATCATACCTAGGTAGAAAAGTAGAAATAATCATGCTTTGCAAACCCTTTCACACAAGAATTACCAAAGTCTAAGGAATAAGCAATTTTTTTTCCTTTTTTTTTTTTTTTTTGAAGAGAATGTATATAAAAAGTGTGCTTAAAATGTGCATGCAATGCTACCACCCCCAACCTAAATGAGAAAGTGTCCTCATTGGCATAAAAGAAACAAAGGCAACCCTAAAATGTAATAACTAGGGAAGGAAACCTAAAAAAAAACTAAGAAAAGAAAAACTACTAAAAGAAAATAAGAAAAACAAATGATAGTATGGAAAGATAAAACCTGATTAAGCATCGTAGATGGGAGCCGAAAGAATGATCTCCTCAGGTTGGTCTACTCGCTCCATATAATGTCTCAACCATTGTCCAATAATTTGGAAGACTCTCCCAAGAATGCATGCTTCAATCCTTCACAAGGTGGCATCTCCATTGAAAATGGCTTCAAATGTTTCCTATCATATAGCAACTCCGCAAAGCTTGGCTCTAAAAATTTTCTGCGTTTATCCTGCCTAGCATTAGAAATAGAGGAAACATTAGAATGATCATTCAAAAAGTCATCATCTAAATCAGAGTCACCAAGGAGGTATTCTAAAGATTCAGAATTTTCCCTCTCATATACTTCCTCAACTAGTGAATCTATCATGTAGGTTTGATAACATTCATCATCATCATATAGTTGCTTCCCAACATGAAAAATATTCACCTCAAGAGTCATATTCCCAAATGAAAGTTTCATCAAACCATTCCTACAATTAATAAGAGCATTAGCAGTAGCAAGAAATGGCCTTCCTAAAATAAGTGGAATCTTTGACTCACTGTTAACTTCAGATTGGGTATCTAAAATAAGAAAATCAACAGGTTAATAAAATTTATCAATCTGAAGCAAAACATCTTCTACTATCCCTCTTGGTTTCCTACAAGAACGATTAGCCAATTGTAACACCACAGATGTGGGTTTTATCTCTCCAAGACCTAATTGCAAATAAACTGAATAAGGCATTAAATTCACACTTGCTCCTAAATCCAAAAGAGCTTGACCGAACTCTTGTAACCAATTTGGCAAGCAATTATTGGGCACCCTGGATCTTTGTACTTTGGCGGTGTTTTTTGCTCAATTATCACACTTACCTGTTCTGTCAAGAATGCAGTTTTCTTGACATGGTGTTTCCTTTTTATGGTGCATAGATCCTTGATCACTTTGGCATAAGTTGGTACCTGTTTAATCACATGCAACAAAGGTAGATTAATCTTAACTTGTTTTAAATTTTCTAAAATCTCACCTTGGTTGTTTGAAATCTTTCCAATTTTAAGAGCTCGAGGGAAAGGAACTCGAATTGGGACCTCCTTCTTAGGTTCTTCCAACAGGTCATCTTCACGGCTACTTGGAGTAGTATCCTTCAATTTAGATGATTTTTGCAATGGCTCTATAACCTTACCAGTACGAGTAGTGATTGCATTGACCCCTTGAATGTTCTCCAAATTAAAGGTAGATTCTTGCACCAAATGTAAATTTTTAGGATTAGGTTGAGCTTGAGATGGAATCTTACCTCACTCTTGGATAGTAAGAGCATTGGTCAACTTAGTTAGTTGACTCTTGATATCCTTGTTTTCTTCAACCACCTGTGTAAGAATAGAATCAAACTTTTGGTTAGTCTTAGTCTATGCCTCCATAAATGCCTTAAGTGTTTCCTCTAAAGGATTTCTATCTGGTCATGCATTGTATTGAGGTGTAGGGTAAGACTTGAGTGGTTGAGCTTCACTATTCCAAGTATTGCTAGATGATGTGGGATGGTTCTGATTAGCCTTCCAACTAAAATTGGGATGGTTCCTCCAACTAAGATTGTATGTTTCCGAATAGGGTGAAAAAGGTTCCTTACTCATTCCTAATGCATTACATTGTTCTTCATAAACCCCTCTCATCTCACCAAAGGTTAGGCAATCTTGAGCTAAATGATCCAATCCCCCACAAACAAAACATGGAGCCTGAGCTTCTACCCTTTCAACTGTGTGGGTGACTCTATTATTTTTCATTTTTAACGTCTCAAGTTCCCTACTTGTAGCTTTCAATTGGGCTCTAAGATTATCTTCCTCCTTAAGTTGGTAAATCCCAAGTGATCGTGACCTACTAGTACTATCGGTGGCACTAGGTCCTGTCCAAGTGTGAGCTTTTTCAGCTAACTCATTTAAATAATCTATGGCTTCTTCTAGGTCCTTATGCAAAAATTCCCCATTACACATCATCTCTATGAATTGACGCTCCGTACTAGTTAAACCCTCATAGAAATAACTAACCAACCTCCAAGTTTCATACCCATGATGTGGACACAAGTTTTGTAATTCTTTAAACCTCTCCCATGCTTGGTATAAGGTTTCACTATCCTTTTGAGAAAATGTGGAGATCTGTATTTTAAAATTATTAGTTTTATGGTGCAGAAAGTACTTGTTAAAGAAAGCTTGAGTCATCTTTGCCCATGTACCTATAGATCTCGGTCTCAAAGAATATAACCAAATTTTAGCTTTGTCTTTCAAGAGGAGAAGGGAAAGAATTTCAACCTAACTATGTCTATAGTGTCAGCTTGACTATGAAAAGTAGCTACTACCTCCTCAAATTCCCTAACATGCACATATGGATTTTCATTCTCTAAACCATGGAAACAAGGCAAAAGCTGAATCATTCCAGGTTTGAACTCAAAGTGTGGTGTATTAGGAGGAAACATTATGCATGATGGTGTAGCTGTTCTAGTGGGGTGCAAGTAGTCTTTCAAAGTCCTAATAAGTTAATCCCCGTTTTGACTCATGGTTTCAGAATTAAAGAATGAATTAGACTCGACTTCTTCTTTTTGAAAGGGTAGTAAATCTAATTTGATAAATCTCCCTTTTTCGTCCCTCGGTCTATTCATACACTCTAATCTACTTTTTTTTTTTTACTGAAGAAAATAAAATAAAAATAAGAAAATAAAATAAACGAAGGAAAAGAAACAAATAAAAGAAATAAATAAAATAAAAATAAAAATAAAAGTGAAGAATGTCCAAACTCTAATTGTCAATCTGGCTTCCCCAGCAACGGTACCAAATTTTGATGTCTTGCCTCAAAATTAATACCCTTTGGTTAAGCGATTGTTGTAGCGTAGTTTTAGGTGTCGAATCCACAGGGAAGTTATATTAAATCAACAAAAAGAAGTTGTCACAATGAGAAATTAAATTAAAAGATGAATTCTAAAATTAAGAATAAAAATATTTAAATAAAAGATGATAATTGTAAAAGATTGAAAACAATATTATGATGAACAAGACTTCAGGGTTCACTTAATTGATTTATTTAACTGTTATAAATTTTGATTCATGTTTATTACTCAATTGCATGTTTATTACTCAATTGCATGTTTCACATCCCAAACAAACAATCGAAAAATTCAATTTTGAAAACCAATAATAATGATTGATGTATTTATCTTGAAAAAAATTAATTTCAATAAAGAACAAATTGATCTATCCTTATGAGCTATTCGAGAGCGATAATATATCTAATCGACAATACTGCAGTAAATGATCAACACGCAAAATAAATCTACCAATGAATTATATTCTAACAAATCACACATAAAAAGAGCATGACTAATCTTATATGAAATTTGATAAATATAATTTTTAAGGTTTTCAAGTCTGAAAATAATTAATAATTTCTCAAAAATAAAATAAAATAATAAAATCTATGAAGGAATCAAAATAAAATAATAAGTCAAACTCTTCAATCAAGATCCTTCTTAATCTTATTGAAAATTTAATTACCTTTTGACATAATTTTCTAGCCTTGAAAAAAAAAATAGAAGTATAGTAGCAGCCTCTCTAGCCCTGGAACCCCTTCTAAAATAACTTACATGGGTATTTATAGAATCCTAAAAACTCTAATTAGAATGGCTGTGGGGCCCACATCACAATAATTAGGACAGATATGATTTGGCTGAATTATCGCGCAAGAAGTCAACACTCTTTACAAGGTGCTGGCACTTTGAGTGGAGCGTCAACTGCATCCTCCGTGTCGGGTTTTTGGCCTTTTGTGCATTAATGGCAGAATAACAGTCTTGGTCCCTGACTCCTAGATTCCACACAAGTTGATCATCATATTTCTGATCTTTTCAATTTGCTCCTTGCATTTAAGTCCTTTTTCTAATTCTTCTCCATTTAACATCAACCTTCAATCATCATAAAATTTGCACAACATGAATAAAATGAACATTTATGAAATTACCTGTAGAAAAATAAAACTCTTAAACCTATAATTTCACAAATATCAATGGTTAAGCACACTTTAAATATACATTTTCATGCTTTCATCAGTCCCTCAACTCAAAAAATCTTTAATTTGATCCTTACTGTTTCCCATTTTAACCTCGACTTGGTTTTTTCGTTAAAAATCCACCCAAGTGTCTCATTAACTCATGGAAACTCAATGACATGCCAAAATATTATGACATGTTAGCCTAACAACATGGATAAATAAATGATGTGTCAAAATATAATGATCTAATTCATCTAAAATTATAATTTTACCCTCATCTTCTTCATCTAGCATCCTCTGTCTCAATTCTTCTTCATTTAGACCTGGCAAAAATTCACCGACCCGTCAACCCGACGCTAACCCGACTTGTAAAAACAGGTTAGGGTTTACATATCACAACCCGCAACCCGTAAACAATCCATATTATCAACCCGTGTGGGTCACGGGTTGGGTTAGGATCAACCTGTAGGTTGATGGGTTGACCCGTTTGTTTTATTTTTTATTATTATTTTTAAATATCATACTTATTATTCTAATTAATTTTCTTATTGGTAACTCCTTCCATTAATTCATACTCCCTAATTTCTAGAGAAAAACAAAAACTATGATGAGTTTGATCTAATTATTCAAGTATCATTTTTTTTTTTTTTGGTATTAACAATTACCCAAGTATCATGAATGAAATGATAATGCAACTAAAAATATTAAAAGATGTGATGCTAGGACATAAACATAA